CAGAGCTGCTCTGTGGATATGGGTCCCCAGAGCACATACCGGAAGGGTATCGACCCCCTCTGACTTTATTAACCTGAACCAAGGGGTAAGGGTCCCTTGGACAGTTCCTATAACTCGGCCGATTATATTTACATTGAATGAGTCTATGGGCATGAAGGTGACCTTTGGGAGCACTTCAACCCCACAAATACAATAAAGTGTATCTGACACTTGAGTGTATTCCCCATAGACAAACAATCCCACAACAGCTGTATTCATATAGAGGACAGCTTTTGCCAGATGATAGTAAGGCTTGTGCATGTTTGAGAATTACCAACACTTATACTACAGCTGGATAGTCAGGGAGGCCAGGAAAAACCTGTAATACAGGAAACCTGAATGGGGCCAAGACAATTAACCAGCAGCTTCCCCACAAAACTTCTATGTTACAACTTCTCAATAGGAGCGTTGGTAACGCGACAAAAAAAGCTCTATCTTGGCAATTTTTATTTTTTTTTATTTTAATTTTTTTTTTTAAATTCATTTATTCTTTCACTCAGTTTTAAGTGTTTTTGAAGAGATCCAATATTTGCCGAACTCTTTGTCTATCCAAATCGTTTGCTTGGTGAAGTAACCAATTAAGCATAGAGTATTAGAGCATTTCCAGTTGTGAGACATAAATTTTGGAATAGAGCTTATGTTGGCATAAAACTTTATTACACTTCCCGAATGAGAAAGTTTATTAATTAAAATACCGTTTGTCTGTTTTCCGGTCGAGAAAACGATGGTGAAATGGCAGTCGCGTTTAATGCAGTGAACGATAACAGACAGAACATATTTTTGACTTTTTTGTTTAATATTGTTGCAGTTTGCTTGAATTTTTCAACGTATCATAAAGGAAAGGATTCATATGATACAGTTTCTTGGTTTATTCGGTATTGCATTGGTTGGGTCCTCGCCTGTCTACACTACAGACCAGTTTTGAATTATTTGAAATCCGGCTTAGTTTTATTATACAGATATGAAATTGGCAACAATGTTTATTGTTTATACTATATTATCATTGTGTTTCCCTCCCAGATCGAAAGCGTCGCACTATACTGATAAATAAAATATATATACACAGTGCCAGTCAGTGGTCTTATTTTACCTTTCATTATAAACATATCCAAGCTTTTACAGTCTATATAAACTATAGACATAGTAAAACACACATGACATTGTTATTGAATATTGAGTATTGTGTCTATTGAGTATTGACTGATTTTATATATCGGCATCGTGATTTTTAGAGTACAGTACATCGTCAATATATACAACTGTCTCTACTGTACTTTCTTCAAGAAAATAAAATTCAACCGCAACGCAAAACATTGAATTATTAAAGTATACTATGACGTATATAGATAGTAGTGCTATATAATTATGATATTACAGCACTGGAGATGCCATGTGGCCTATCACTGTCTCCGTTTCATAGCTGGTCTAAATTGTATTGGTGGCAATAGCTAAATTTTTGCCCTCGAGAAAGAGCAATATTGCTGATGTGACTGCTCTCATATTCCAGGCATCACACTGTCGTTATTTTGAGGGAAGTGTGAACGCCTGGCAAGCGTCTTGTTCCATTGAAAAGTACAAAGGCGTCAAAGATTGACCAAACTCTGGGTACGAGGTTGGGTGGAAATTAAGTTCAAACTCAGTTGAAACAGAATTATAGCTAGACTAGAAAATACATGTATGCAGAAACCCTCGCCTTGCTGACAAAACCGCTGTATTTTCCGAACATGAAGTATCTAAAGTAGTTGTTATGGTAACACGATAATTTTTTAAGAATATTCTTACAAATAAAAATCCCCTAAAAATATCACTTTTAATTACAAAATTATCAATTTCTCAACATATATATGTTAGGTATGTAATTATCCCCGAGCCGGCGGCGCGAAGCGCCGTGCGAGGGTACTAATTCCCCCCCGGCTATTTACACCCGGGAAAACGAAAGCATTAGCCAAGTCTAAAGTTCATCAAATATCGCGGGCGTGACCAACGAACCTTGAGTGGGTGGTCATCCTCACTGATCTCAAAAATATGGCGGACTGTCATGGATAGCGAACACTGATTGGTCAAATTTAAAATTTGTTGTTGTATGACAAATGACGACTTCAACTGACAGATACTTCATGAAAATAATTTGCTTTTTACACTACAGTATTTTGTACGTTTGCAAAAAACTTTGACAGCTTTCAAAGCAATTTGTTCTATAAAAAGTTTAATGAAACAATTACGGTATCAAATACTAATTGAAAAGATATGGAGCCAAATGAAGAGCGGCAAGGAAACGACAAGAAAGCCGAACGTCTCGCGAAAAGGAGGGAGCCAGCGAAGACGACAACGTTTGCTCGAGGAGACTGCTGAGGAAAGAGAAGCTCGCCTGGGAAAGCGTAGAGAAGCATGGAAAAAAAAGACTGCTGAAGCGAAAGGTATTAAAGCAAAGGCTTGTCTTCACAACGCTATGTACCAATAATACTGTAGCTATACAAGTTTAAGTGGCCTTTAAGTATGATATTCGACCCTCTATATTCGACTATTTCTTCACAATTTTCCAATAAAGAGTTTGTCATGACACGCTCAAGTCAGTATAACCAGACTGTATTTTATTTATATCAGTTATCCCAGCCACAGGCAATTTTATGCTGTCAAATACCGTCGGTGGCAACTAAGGGTGAACAGTTGCAGATAAAACATTCTCTATTCTCATTAAAAAGCCTGTAAAAGTTTTCAGTAGGTCTCTAGCCCAACAAGTTCAGACAAAGTTTTGCTACTTATTTTTATTGCACTCATGGGAAACAACAATTAAGTGTTGTTGTTCTTGACAAACATTGAAGATTCTAATCACGCGAATGTTTTTATGAGCGACTGTTCATCGTTAGTTGCAAACGACGGTACAACATACTATGAACATTTTTCCGACTGTGACCGAATGTGCAACGATATAGGCCGTGGGATGAGCATCCAAAAGATGCAATTCCGTTGCACCCCTCGTGGAACTACGTAATTTTCACATGAATAAATAGATAAAAACTTACTTTATCAGAATCCGTTGCTCCCCAAGTGAAACAGGTGCACAATTGGGAGAAAAATCCCTCCAAAGTTTGATATTTTCGCGCTTCGAAATATTCGAACCGCCATTATTTTGGTAGCAAATACGCATGCGCAACTCAGTCAAACTCGCACTGCGCACGCGCAGACTATAAAAATAGATTCTCACTGGGGGGTTTCCCCGATTTCCTCCGCAAAAACAACAAAATAAAATCACAGAATACTGATCAAACCTTGTAATATAAATACACCCACATTAAATATTGTTAAAAACACATTGTATATTTTGCTTGCTCATATGCTAAATCACTTCAATTCATTGGCTATTGTTTCAAAATACCGTTTTAACGTTTAATTATACTTTATATTAACATCCTAATTCAATACAAATTTGTGTGAGGTAAAAAACCCACCTGTATCAAACAGGACGGAGAATAAAAAATATATATGCATACAATTCACACGATCAAGGAACAATTAAAATGAAATATTTGTGAAACACTCTTTATCCGTTTGCCGACGCTGATAAGACAATATGACAAACCGAAAGATTGGAAAGACAAATAATATGATAACAGTGTTTCCAAGTTCATCCCGGGCTTTAAGGGATATTTATATAAACTCGAAATTCATAAAAAAAAAAATTAGGAGGAAATATAAAATCCATAATTTCATTATAGCTATCTATAATTGAAAGAAATGTTTTCATCTTTGAACCCAGATTTTCATCAGAGCAATAAAATCCCGCTTATTGGATCCTGGCCAAGGGCTTGCACGCTCAAAACGAGATTGCATGTATTCTGCAATAAGCTGTCCTGGCTTTTGTCTGGTAAAGTTCTACTTCTCGTATTTGAACTATTTCATGTATTATATTTATATTGTGACATAAGTTGGTATTTAGCCACTATCTAGAATAACAAGGAACGATTCAGCCTGCTTTTTCGTGTCCACACTAGTTGACTTTTTCTTATAGATTTGCTGCTGTGAGTTTCAGCTTCTCCACCAGGGTGCGTTTTAGCTTCTCAGACATGACTATACTGTTAACCCTGTCCATGAGAGGGATATATGTGTTGATAATATAAACACTGTGGATCCGAATGAGAATATTGAATAAGTAAATAAATACTGATCTACTCCACTGATAATACCTACATGCATTACCATCATTGTTCACCTCAAATCATTAATAATTCATGAGCAAATTAGCCAACCATATTGCTTTATTTTGCTCACATGATAATACTGGATACTTTATGAAGTATATTGATCCTGTAGTGTCCTAGGACTGGATAAAAATTAATTAAGTAGTGATTTATTTGTGATGTCATTTCAAATCCTCCAATTCGGACTGGACTAGATTTCAAGTCCTCACATTTTGATCCAGTCCTCTGCTTCGCCTCGGACGTGATCAAATTGTGTGGACTTGAAATCTAGTCCAGTCCTCATAGTCGGATTTGAAATATTATCCATTGTCAAATCAGATGCCAATGGTGGCCAAGGAAGATTCAGTTTTAGTATTTCTTGCACCTTTTGGTGAAGAATGAATACAGCATTGTATAGAATTTGTAACTCATTGACTTTAGAACTTCCCTCAGTTTCTGTGTTGGAATTCACATCATCATCATCAATGGTACAGCTCTCTTCATCAAAGTCCTCATTATTGTTTTCAGACTTAGGACCTGTTTATATGGAAGCCGGGCTGGCCTGATAAGCGAGACAGCCTGGTAAGCAAGATCTCGCTGTGTAGTTATTTTTATAGTAAAAGTTATCATGCGTTTATATGGACAAGCAGGCTGGCCCGGGTTGCCGAGATCTCGTTTGAAAAAGGCTAGATCTCGCTTACCGGGATGGAAATTTCTCCATAAACAGCGGGCTATCCTGGTTGCCAGGATGAAAGTTCAAAGATACCGCCGCAAGCTATTTTTAACAACTGTCAAAACAATACAATGTAACAAAATTGTCCTGGCAAGCGGGATGAAAGTTTCTCATATAAACACAAGAGAAATTAATCCCGCTTACCGGGCTGTCTTGCTAAGCGGGCCATCCCGGCTTCCATATAAACAGGCCATTAATTGACATATGTTCCTCAACCAATTCAGAAGAATCCAAATTTTCCACATATACAATCTCACTAACATTTCTCATTTTCGGTACACAGAACACAAGTTGGGGATAACTTTGCATCAGTTGTTGCTTGAGTTTAAAAGCTCTATATTTAGATGCATCCACATTCTCAGTGTCCTTAGCAATGATAACCAATTTCTCCAGCAAATCTTTCATATACTTTATTTGCTTATTTCTGATGACCTCCATCTCAATTACTTTCTTACAGAAATATACATCATAAGACTTCTCGTACACTGATGCTCTCGTTGCTTCTTCGTCTCTCTGGTGAGAAATATTGTATAATTGCAGTAGCAAACTTTGTGATAGCGGATTTCCAGAGCTACACAGTCTTTCCCCTGGATTTGCACTAGTATCTGTTGATCATTCTTTCTCTCGGCAGCTGTACATAGAAGACCAGCATCAATTGTTTTTGCCAACATGAGTGGGGTTCTTCTTCTCTTCTTAGTTACCTGGTGTGAAACAAAATAAATTATTAAACTAAATATCTGCTAATAACAAGGTTGGATGTTTGTAGCATAGAAACTACTTTACCCTAAATAAACTTAATTGATCACAATTCAATATATTTTAAAACCAAACCTGAGAATGTTGTGCACATTGCGCTAGTATTT